TTTGTCGTTAGAGAAAAAGAGGAGGAAAATTTTTTGTTTGGTTACATGAACACCCAATATTAAAATTACGTTCATATCCATAAGACTTTTTTAAATAATGTGCTTTTCCTTGAACCGTCAAATTAGCAAATTAAAGGTTACTTAATTATTATCAGCCATATCGAAATCTATGGTGATAATGACTAATCAAATGATTAATGAAAAGGTAGAGATGCATCGCAAAGCACAGTGTCTTATACATTGACTTATTCGAATGCATACAACATAGTGATATATATTATAATAAAGCGCCAAGTGTATGCTTATTTATGATCAAAGTTGACAATAGCACTCAAAAAACCATTCCCAAATGTCAATTTCAAACTCGATGTGTTTAGATGAAAACTTTTCTTCCCTGTAGGATTAATGATGTCTCGGATCTGGTCCACCTGGACTAAGTCGAGACTTATATGTTGGAACCCTACAGCCGAATCTTCTTCCGCGTTGTTCTTCACCAAAGTTGGCGTAACCAGAGGACGACATAAAAACCGTGAAAAAGACAGAAACACCAATATAAAGCACATCCACAGTGAAATCACCATTTTTGACTTGGCCATTGATTCCTCTTCAACAATTTCACGGAGAGTTAATTCTATGTAATATATGGCGTCTTTCCTTATAATTGCTCTTGGCACAGGTGCTTATCAGAGTTGCAGAACTTGTCTGATATATATAGGCCACATGATATGTGAGCTGGTGATTTGATGAGAATATTTAAAGGGTTTTAAGGTCCTTTGATCTGCGTGCATGCATTGAACTAAAGCCAAAGCATGTGCAAGGTCACAATTCAACTTGTCAATGTAGATCAACTCTTATTTGCTGGTCGAGATTTTCCTTCCTAACGAATGCTTAATCTCTTTCTCCGCATGTCTCGTACTAAGAACAATTGCAATTAAATGTTTTTGCCAACATAACGCGAAGAGTATTTGCTATACGTCCGTTTTGGACGTACTCAGAACTGCAGCTAACATGATTTCATTTGATTGAATTCATCCAATTTTTTATAGCAAGTTCATAGAGAACTTTCGAAGGCTGCAAACTTTCTGAAACCTTTTTTGTTTTCACTTTTCAAACTCAAATCTGAGAATTTTCGGACTTTGATTTTTTACAATAGTCTTACGTACGTCAACAGAAAATGCCAAAGGTTGGCCGTTTGAAACGCGCTTAATTTAATTGATTTAGCGTATCTAAAACAAGTTTTTGTCAGATAGTAAGGACCTACGTGAATCCTAACCAATCGATATTGTTCTTAATTGATTCTGATACGACTTAAAGTTATTGCACTTATTTAATGAAATCCACCATGGATTGAATGGCTTTATGTTGTTAAGAAGAAAACAAGGAAGACCTAAAAGACAAAATAACACCTTCACCAAAAGAAAAATAGAAAAGACACAGACGTACAAAGTAACGCACACTATATAATGTTTCTAACTTAACTTTTTTTTAGGCACAATGATAAGTTTTGGTTTAAACATAAATTTTCTTCAGTTCATTTTATGAGTAGAAAAATTTATGATGGTATACTTTTCATTAGTTATCTCAGTAAAACTACTTGTTGTGACAAATGTCATGGCAATATCATATTCCTGGCAGCTGCTCTTGACAAAAAGGTATCCCTCCATTAATTAACAGCCAAGAACTAATTTCTTTTGAAGCGTAGAAATTACAGGAGTAGCATTAATTTAACTGTACCAACAATATCCTTTTCATGCATAGGTATTAGGGACTTCTGCAACGTCTTTGCAAATATTCAGTTTCTTTGGTGGCATTCCATATGCATGGGCATACCCACCCTGAAAAGTCACACAAGCGTGCATTCCCGAAATGGAAGTTCAAAAAGAAAATATGATAGAGTCAAAATAATGAAGCTAAAAAAAAAAGTTAAAGAGATTCCAGGAAAGAAGACTCGGGGCTTGTTTGATTTTTGTTTTCAAAAAATATTTTATATTTCAAAAACAAAAAAATTAAAAAATTTGTTTGGGTAATTTTTTTATTTAATTGTTTTCAAAACTGTTATAATTTTTTTTGTTTTTAAGAACAAAAAATTATAAACATTTTAAAGTCATTTTTATTTTATTTTTCTTATTTTCCAAATATATTACATTTGATTATTAGAAATTATAGTTAGCTTGATCAATTTCTATCATAAAGCACTACCATTAACCTCTTGCAATTATCAATATTGGCCTTTTTTTTAAGTTCTAAAACTTATTTTAAATTAACATAATCAACCATATTTTCATTTTTTTTGTTTTGAAAAACAATTTTGAAAATATTATAGAAACTAAGCAGGCGCGTAGTCTTTTTATTGCTTAATTCTTAGAATCTATTGTAAAAAGAGTTTAGAGAGCTTTATTTCAAAATGAGAAATGCTTTTTAAATGAGTTTGGAAAGGAATTACAAAGGTTAACCTATCAAGACTAACAAAAATAATTTATTAGCTACATAGGCGTTGTGCCAAAGGCAAACGTGCCCATTACAATTAGGAGTTGAAATGATGTTAGTCCAGTAACAAAGAATTATATTTGGGAGCAAGTAGAGGTAAAATACTTTACTCATAATTATTATAATTAATTATAATTACTGGACTAAAATCTAATTAATTTTCTTGTTTTACAGTCAGCGTTCACAATTGATGTTAGTTGAATGAAATTTGTCATTCAATGAGTTGGAAAGGCAATGCGGATATTTTTGTATTTCATTGGAACGAAATACAATAAAAAAATCAGCCGGAAACATTAGTGCTAAAGTTTCCGAATTAATGAGGCCATTAGTCTCACAAGAACAATGGGATGAATTTATTGCCCAACATTTTAAGGGGCAATTCCAAGTAAGAACTATAATTTCTTATTATCAATATATATATATATATATATATTGATATGATTCTATATGTTTTACATAGGAATTGAGCAACCAAAAGAAAGAGTTGCATGAAAAAGATATATACCCTCACAAGAAATGGCACACAGGATGTGCAAAAATTGAGCAACAAATAGTATGTTAATATTTAGGCTATATAATTTTAGTTTATTTTATTGATATGTGCACTATTAATGTTCAACTTTATTTAAATGCGTAGATCGAGCGAGAAGGTTCAGGAGCAAGTTCTGTTTCACATCATAAACTCTTCATAGAAGCCCGGACTAATAAAGAAGGAAATATTGTTGACAAACGTGTTCAAGAACTTGCTAACAAATGCGTAAGTACATTATTTTAATATTGTCATTTTTTCTTATAATCAATTAATAAACTTAACTTTCCCATTATATATTGCACAGGCTGAGATAGAGAAAAGTGGCCTACCTAATGATGGAGATGTCTTGGGCAAGGCACTAGATAATCCTGAACACTCTGGTCAAGTGAGGGGTTATGGCTTTGGTGTCACAAAAAAAAAATATTTGGGACACAAAAAAAGACAAAGTCAACAGAGGACGTGGGCACAAGGGCTGAGAGTGCCACACTAAAAGAGGAGCTATCTAGGCAATGAGAATTGATTGATACCTTGCTAAAGGACAAGGAAAGGCAGGAGGGGAAGTTTCATATTAGTCATAGCGGGAAAGGTAGTTTTAGTGTAACACAGCCCGTTAAAAATCTCCCTGAGGTAAAATAATACTTATTTATTTCACTTATGTTTCACTATTTTATTTTTCATAGCATTAATATAGTATATTACTCATTAATATAAGGTGAGGATATATGTGAGTTGTTAGCAAATAGCCTGAATCGTCATATGGTTGCTATCGATCGAGTGTTCAACATTCCTAGAGACACATTACATAATATGCCACTCCCTACATCCTATGTACAAGTTGCTATTAATGTGCCTAAAGATCTCAACTATCCATTACCTATTTCCATCGAGGATGCAGGGATTGTAAGAGAGGCAATGGGTAGCTTTGTTAGATAGCAAGCTATTGATGTTAAGATGCCAAGTCCAAAAAAAGCTAACAAAGATGCACAATCCAAGAAAAAGACCGTGCCCCGATCTAGGCTTTCCTTAAAAATTGTCTCGCATGTAGCTATGCCTGAACAAGAGCCTCAATTGTCAAGCCAGCATTGAAATTTACTTCAAGCATATGCAATGACTCATAGGTCTAATCCTCCGATCTTGCAAATCTCATTTGAGACAGGAATATACGGTGCACCACAATATGATATACTTTCGCTCGATATTATAGATGAAGTGCTACAGCATGAGATGACCAACCTCACTGTTCTCAACTTTTATATATAGTAAATTATCTTTTATATATGAATAGTTAGTATTCTAAATATATATATTAATCCATTTGATATATTGATAGTAGGTGCTTGTATGAAAAATTTATTGTTCCTCTTGGCCTACAAACGAAGTTCATTTTAGTTAGTCCCCATGAGATTGGTGCACATGCTTTAATTAAAAAGGACAAGATTTTAGATCAAGCCAAGCAATTAAGTGAAAATTTTAAAGCAAGGGGTCAAAAGAGGACATTATTCTTAATACCATATTGCCAAGGGTAACCTACTTCTTACTTATATTAATGAATTTGTTAAGATTAATTTAGTCAATTAGTTATAATTTTATAGCACTTGTTAATGCTATTAGAGACCATTGGAGTTGATTGCCACTAAACCATATGGTAGCACTCCAATATATATTATCTTGATTCTCTTGGTGGAAAATCAGAGAATAGACAAATTTTATTGGGGTTGATTAATATGCAAGTGCAAAAAATAAGTATTTTATATATTTAATTGTTTATGTCACGCCTCGAAAATAGAGGGTGAGTGGCACGGGTGCGAACTACATCATGCATTCCCGTAAGCCTTAAAATAAAAATTCCTTCCATTTTAAAAATAATCAAATTATATAGAAATTCTAACACTTTTAATATTGATTGTCATAACCAGACTTCAACATTTTTTTTAAAAAAAATTTTGATAGCACCTCCTCTGTAAATACGATCTTCTGAAAATTCTAAAACAAAATTTTCTTGAAAATAGTATCAATCAGGAGCTTAGCTCCTTCCAGCCAACAACAGCATGTAAATCAAAATAAAATCCTAACAACAATCTATGTGGAGCAGCTAATCTTTCTTTTAAATTAAAAATACATACGACTTAAAGATTTATATCAAAAAGTGACAGTACCAAACAAAATTTCCACCCAATGTAGCTATATTGCCCTTCAGAGGTCGTTGGTAGGATCAGCGTTAGCTAACAAATCTGAGACCAAAAATAAGTTTTCCAGTGAATAACGTCCCAACAATAATTAATTGATCATGAATAAACAAGAAAGTTCAAAATAATTATACAATTAAAGAGACAACTTCTTTCATGGAAATTCAATAAACTTCAGAATAAAATAGCTCTATAAGCTTTTAAATAAAATCTTAAACCATTGAACTATCATAACAAATGTTAATATCATCTAATTTCAAGAAAGCACAAAATGAAATAAATATTTTGTAAATAATTTATTAAATAAAAACCAATGGAATATATAAAATCACTAAATAATCCAATTCACAATTTTAGGGACTTATCAGAACAATAAACAAACGTGGACACACAATCCACGAGGGTAAATAACCAAATGCGGCTCATGCCACGAAGACAAACGTGGACACACAGTCCACGAGGGTATATAACTAAACGCAGCTGAAGCCACGAAACAAACGTGGACACACAGTCCACGAAGGTAATGCTAACCAAACGCGGCTTTAAGCCACGAAACAAACGTGAGTACGATGCTCACGAATAACCATCCCTCCATTCCACGTGCGTTGGCCATCGCATGGGGCTAGCACCTCCTATACACACCCTGCTAGCTAGGTGTACCATGGCGCGCCAAGGGCTAACGGAACTGCCGTTAGCAACCAGTGTTCTATATAAAGTCCCTTTGTAAAAACCATTTTCAAACATGCGAGAAATTGATCACCATTCAATCAAATTTTCCTTTCCAATGTCAAACTCGCATGAATCGTTTTCCCGTAACAATTCAATAATTCCAAATTGAAATCCCATAATTAGAATTCAAACTTGCATTTACTGATTAACTAAAATGATCAATCCTGGTAAAAAATAATTTCACAAAATAAAGTAATTTAATCAACAAAATATCTCATAATCACATTGTTGTCGTAAAAAAGAATTTGCATAAAAATGTAATATTTGAATAAAAGAGATTTTAATGAAATATCAGTTGGGACGCTATCCACTTACCTGAAATTTTGGGAATTTACAAATTCACCTCTAACCATCGTTCCAATTTCTCCTCCTCCAAATACCCTGTAAATTAAAATAAAATTCTCTTTTTTTTTCCTTCTAACTTTCTATAAATCCAATTATTTCCTCCTAACATTACTACTATAAAAATTTAGCTATGGAAAATTTAAAATTTAAACTTTTACACTTAATAATCCCTTTGGCTCATTATTCGAATAAAATATCATCTCCCCTTAATCCTTTGTCAAAGTACCAACCATATATTATTTCCAACCCACTCATAAGAGTTTCTAGTATTCTCATCTTTTATCACAAAACTTATCCACAACCATGTATCTCCTAAAAGTTCAAATAGTTGATACTAATTTCATACTCAAATTTTCTTTAAAATCTTCAAATCAAATTCATGAGCAATAATACTTAAATTTTTTTTTTCAAGCTCAAACTAACTCCTTCCTCTTTGATTCTATCTCCCACAATTCTTTAACAGATATAAGTAAACATTTGGCTTCCTAATTTTCTTCTCTTTATTAGACCAATCAGTCTTAACTTAAGGAAATTAAATCACCAATTCCCACATTCCCATAGCAAGACTAAACCAGAAATTCATTTTCAATTTACACTCTTTCCTTCTCTCCCAGTTACGTTAGTAGCAGCAGCCAACAGGACAGAACACAATTGCAGCATTACTCTACCTTTTCATCCATTCACACGCAGCGAGATTTTCTAAAGAAAAAAAAAAGGAGATTATCTTATTACCTTAGACAGACCAACAGCACACGAACAAGAAAGGAGGAGGCACTTCGAACAGTGAAGACGGAAGGACTGTCACAGTTAATGAAGAACGGATGAGCATACCGATGATAATAAAATGAACAAGAAGCAAAATAAATCTCAGCTCACCCAAGCCTTTGCACACAACGAAGCAACAAGGAAAAAGAAAGAGATTCAGCATACTTGAAACAATGACAGAGACAGAGGAACGACTGTGAGACAGGGGAAGAATTCGCAGCAGTGGCAGAAGAACAGCGATAAGCCACCGATGATAGCGACCCACACGAACAGCGACGTAGCCATTGGTTGAGAAGGAGGGTGCGGAGATCGATGAGAGGCAGTGCAAGGGTTTGGTGCGGACTCTCAACTCTGCCTCTGCTCTAGAAGACTCGAAGAAGACAAGAATAAAAGAGAGAGAGAGAGAAAAAAATCTGATCAGGATGAGGATAATTTGGTAATTTCCTACAGTGGCAGAAAAAAATAAAACTCCCTATGGCCTTGTTCAGATTCGAACTTGGGGCCTGATGGTTGATGTATATGCATTCTTCTACTACACCAATACTCCATATTGTCATATTTGTTCTAAGAATTAATATAATCACTATTAAAATACAAACTTATATACTTAATTTTACTTAAAATTTATGGGTTATCACAGTTTATTTCTATATTGACATATTTTTCTTTTTTTATTAGGGCAATTGTGTTGTACCACACAAAACACTAAACAAACAATTCCAAGGTCATTTACAAATTTCGATGCAGCTTACACTTGGAATATAATAAAGGTAATTAATATCATTTTTTAATTTAAATATTCATAATTTTTAATGCATTAATATGTACTCATTGGTTCTTTAATTTGTAGTGCCCAAGACAAATGAAAAATAGCTTGGATTGAGGCTTTTGTGTTATGAGGTTCATGAAAGACATCATTATCCATAATGAGAGCACAATTCCTATGATAGTATGCCAACAATTAATTTTCACTTTATAATTGCTAATGAATATAATTTATTAAAATAAATTTATGGTGGATAATTTATATTTTACAGTACTATGAGGATTCCTGCATTGAAGAATTTGGTATGTACAAATAAATGAGGTAATTGGAGAGTGGTGCCAGTACATATTCCAAGTGTGGTCATTACACAAAGATGAGAATCAATAGATTTAGCGCAAGTAGGATGAGTGTTTATAGTTTTACTAGTTTTCATTCATTATTTAATATTAGTTGGTAAATTACTTTCCTTTAAAAAATTCTATACATTGATTGCTTGATAGATTAGAATAAGAGATTAGTTTTTATTTCATTTTGTATTGATTATAATTAAATTTTAATTGATATTCATGTATAAAAATTTTGGAATTACTGTCTGGTTATTATTATATAGTTATTACAGAAAGATTGCTACAAATAACAAACCTCTATTTAAAAAAAACACACCATAGAACATATGACAGGCAAATATTCGCCCATCATTTATTCACAATAAATAATGGGCAAAAATTTTCCCATCATTTATTATTATCATAAATGACGGGCAAATCCCGTCATTTATTGTGACAAAACAATATATACGGGCAAATATTTACCCGTCATTTATTGTAAAAATTTGCCAGTATTTATGATAAGAATAAATGACAGGTATTTTAAACACCGTCATTTATTCTTTCAAAGGGAACAATAGGTTATTTAACCATCATTTATATAAAGGAATAAATGATGAGTAAATAACCATTATTTATTTGGAGAAACTTTAAATGATAGGGTCATAATTGATGGTTCATTTATAAGCAAACAAAAGCTGTCATTTATGTCATTTTTTGTAATAGTGTGAATTTTAAAACTAAAGTTTGCTTATAGCTAAACTGGCAAAAAGTAAATGTTAAGGGTTTGGAGTGCTAGAGGTTGTGGGTTCAAACCAAGGAGGGCACATTCTATGAAATAACAATTATGATCAACAATATAAAGCACTTGAGGTCATAGGTTCAAGTTGTGGGTGGTTGGAGAAGGCAAGAAGAATTTCAATAATTTTTTTTCATCTTTAAAAAAAATCTAAAAAATCAATGACAAATAATTAGGGATGGACAATTCTTTCACAAAATTAGTGACAGACATATATCCATCACATGGATTAGTGATGCCATATTTCTGGCAGATTTAGCGATAAAAATTTTTGTCACTAAATCAAAAATTAGTGATGGAATTTGTTGTTTAGTGATGGATTTGGTTGTCACTAATATCATTTTCTCTAGTAGTGCATGCTTGTCAATCATTCTAACCAAGTCTTACTAAAGAGTGAGTTTTGAAAATAAAAATTTTTCTTAAAATCTTATCTTTTAAAACAAATGATATTTTTTACCATATTTGGGTTCTATATTGAGCTATATGATTTCAAAAATGTTTAAACATGTTGATGTTCAAAGTGAAACTTGAATTTCTAATAAAATTATAATTGAATTCATATGGTAATAGTTTTACATTTACGTAACTATTAATATATATATATACACATACATATAAGGTACGTGCTATATTATTTTTAATTGATTATTTTATTAAACTTATAAGAAACTCATTGATGTACCTTCCATTATTTCCATCAATTGTAATTAGGACATTATCCACTGGTAAAATTCTTTTTGGTCTCAAATAATGTAGTTGACATTGTACATCCTAATGAGCGGTAAGGAACTTTTGGCTAAGTAAGATGGAGATTTGTTTTGTAAATATTTCTTTTGATGTAATAATAAAACTTATGTATTATGTTTTGAAAATATGATTAGGTGCTCCATATAGATTATAGTTAAGATCCTCGTCTTAATTAACTATTACTTTTTTGTTGACTGATAGGAGCAAAGCTCTTCTGGTTGTTGTGCTGGAAATTATGTTGAAAAGTTTTGTGAGGTCTTATTAGCTCCACATACACCGTAGTTAAGCCCTAGTTTTTATTGTGCTGGTATATAGAGCTAGTCTCCTTTACTCAATTGATTGATTAGTTTCGCTATTGTAGGAATTTTGGGAGGTTCAAATTATAGGGGAAACTTTGCCAAAATTTCTACAAAATATTCAAGACTTTATGAACTTTATAAACAATATAAAACTATATATGATGTTTTTAGCTTAATTTTTGCTAATTAAGACTTATGAAATGCGAGGTTATCTCATATTCCGTGCCAGTCATACCTTAGTACCGAGGTGTGACAACTATAGTCATGTATTGTGCTAGAAACATAATGAGAAGAATGCTGCTATAGGGCTTCAAGTGCATTTGTTCACATTCAAGGTAGGATCAATGATACTGAAAGCATGGAAGATATTATTACTTATCACCTAATGCGTGTTTAAGTGGGAATGGAAGATATATCGTATGTTGGTTTGTGGAAGTTTGAGTGTTATTAAGAAAAAAACAACAAAAAACAGCAACACAAAACAAAACAACAAAAGTTGCTCTTGTCGATTGTAATTGATTAAGCTTGTGTTTAGATTGAGGAACTCAACATTTGGCTTAATTTTGTTGTAAGTTGTCTAGTTGTTTAAAATTTGAAAGTTTTTCTGACTTAAGAAATTGTCACCTGATCATATTTTGCTTAAGCGATTATTTTCCTTGCTATATCAATACAACAAGTGCTGCAGGTAGCTAGAAAGATCTTGATGAAGATAATTCTTTTGTTGCTGCAAATGCATTGTTTTGTAAAACTAAGTATGATGAATTTTTAAATGCATTATAAATTGGCTTTTATTGTTTTATGGGCATAAAAACAAATGTCTACTTGAGTTGTATGAGCACGAAATCAGCTATGGCAAAGACAATAGTGGAAGTATAAATATTTTTAAAAAAAA